ATGTTTTGAATTTGGCCATCATTACAAACACGTGATAATCGCATGCAAATTAATGACTTGAAATGTGAGAAGATAAGTGGAAATGGACACATAATTTCAATCATATTTTTAATTAGGGACATTTATAGAAGTAGTTATTTGTTTGATAAAACCACTGTGTACTAGTTGATGTATAATGAAGGTCAATATAAACTTCATCATCATTTCTAAATACTTCTTCATTTACTAAATCCTACATCATTTAGATCCCCTTGAACTTTTATTATTACGACATCCTTAATTGTTGTGACTCTTGAGTTCTTCATAATTGAGTTTAGAAAAGTTTTCAGTTGTGGTTGCCATGCACTTCTCGGGCTTCTCTTGTGCCAAGTCCCCAAATTCTAGACTTTTTTACCTTTTGTAACCGTTCAAAACAGTCTAATTCTATTTAGGTGGAATACAAGTAAGAAATGACAACCAATTGACTAGAATCGTAGATATATTCAACATTTAATGTATTCCACTAGTACTACAACCCCAGTTTGTCCAGTTTAACAGTGCCTGCTCAAGGGAAGCTCCTAAAAAAGCCCTAGTTCTCTAGCCCCCAAATTATTAGGGCCCAATTTTTTTAAAAAAAAATAAAATAAAATTCAATAATACCATAAACATTCTATGATCGTAAAGATATATGTTGTAAATGTCCCAAACTATATTTCTCCAAAGATTTATGTTAAACTGTTTTTTAAGCTTTCAAATATGTCTTCACTACTAATTATCTAAATCTTTACACTTTTAGCAATATGATCGTAAAGTATCATTTCACTTTTAAATATTTAGTAAAGATGAATTTATGAAAATAATACAATGGAAGTATGATCTTACTCTATACATTGTCAATGCAAAAAACTGTTAACAAAATTAAAAGAAAAAAGAAATTATTATCAAATAAAACTATCAAAACTAACTGTTATTACTTGATTTTTTGTTACTTATATGTTAAATGCCTCTTTAATAAGGTTGAAGGGTTGAGTGGGTTCACGCCGGTCGATTGTCATTATTATAAGGCTCAGAATTCAAATCACGTTGAGGAAAATCTAATTTTAATTAAAAAAAAAAAGAAATAAAGGTTTTATTTTTAAAACGGAGGATTTTTTTTAAATAAAAAAATTGATTGTGATTCTCTATTTATCCATGACGTAACTCGCACAGCAACCAATTAGAAATAAGGGAGCCATTTTACTACTAGATTACATCTCATTGTCAAATAGAGCATTTAGTTTTTGCATGATAATCTCTAAATATTTCTTTTTATACTAATGTCAAAATGTCCCACTTTATTCTCAACAGCTAAACATGTTTTGATTCTAAAGTTCCATTTAAGCAATATTCTCAAACTATTAAATGATAGTGAAAATTTAAAATCAAAGTGAACAATCATTCTAGACTAGGAATTAAACCATCATTTCAATCAAACAGGTTTTTCACTAGTCTTGATTATAAAATCTCAACGTCCTTTTTACTGTGCGAAACCATAACATTAACATTGTAGGGTCGGAAAAAATGTCGTTCCTACCCATAATTTTGTCCTCGTTGTCAATCATACCCAATAGATTTTCAGTTAGCCAACTTTACCCAAATGTTTGAAATTGTCGCCAATTTCGTCCAATCGGCCCATTTTCCGTCCAAATTAACAGATCTGCGTTAGTTTTTTAATAAAATAATAAATTTAATTATAAAAACACCCAGTAATTTTTAAAATTTTTAAAAATAACCCCTAAAATATATAAAAATAACAAAACAGTCTTTTTTCACTTTTTAATTTTATTTTTCTCTATTTTGTTCCATTTCTCTCAACTATTTTTAATGATCATAAAAATCTATTATATGAGTTTTTTTAAAAAAAAATTATTTATTTTCAAACTCTACCGTAAAAATTAATCTTTGCATAGTTGTAACCCATGATTGTATTTATATAAGCATGTTGATTTTTCTAATAATATAGTTTAGCAATAAAGACACTATTTTTCTGATTTATTTTATTTTTCCTAACTTAAAGATTAAAAATATTTAAATGAAACTAATATTTCACATAAAAATAAAATATTAGCTCAAATAAAAAAATATTAATATATTTTAGCGTATTACAATTTAACTCAAGAGACTATAACTTGCATTAATATAATTCATAAAAAAATAAATAAAATATAAAATAATTAAGACACTATTTTTCTGATTTATTTTATTTTTCCTAACATAAAGATTAAAAATATTTAAATGAAACTAATATTCCACATAAAAATAAAATATTAGCTCAAATAAAAAAAATATTAATATATTTTAGTGTATTACAATTTAACTCAAGAGACTATAACTTGCATTAATATAATTCATAATAAAATAACTAAAATATAAAATAATTAAAATCTTAAAAAAAATCCTCCAAGCATAAGTTTTCCTTCTTTAATCTAAAACCTATTTTCTATAATAACAATTTAGTACCATATTGTTACCTCCATTCATTTATTTTAAACTAAAATCATATAAAATAAGCGAGTAAGACTTCCTCTTAGTTAAATATATTAACATCTCAAATAATTATTACAAAATGTTAAATCCTCGCATCGATAAGTATAAACATATTTTTTTATAAATTATATTATGCCATGTAGTCTCTCTAGTTAAATTGTAATACACTAAACTATACTAATATATTATTTTTTATTTGAGCTAATATTTTATTTTTATGTGGAATATTTTTTTCATTTAAATATTTTTAATCTTTATGTTAGGAAGAATAAAATAAATCAAAAAAATAGTGTCTTTGTTGCTAAACTACATTATTAAAAAGTTTTACATGCTTATATAAATACAATCATGTGTTACAATTATACAAAGATTAACTTTTACGGTAGAGTTTGAAAATAAATAAATACTTTTTAAGAAAATCATATAATAGATTTTTATGGTCATTAAAAGTAGTTGAGAGAAATGGAACAAAATAGAGAAAAATGAAATAAAAAAGTGAAAAGGGACTATTTTATTGTTTTTTATATATTTTAGGGGTTATTTTTAAAATTTTTACAAACTATTGGGGTGTTTTTGTATTTAAATTTATTATTTTATTAAAAAACTAACGGAGATCCGTTAATTTGGACGAAAAATGGGCCGATTGGACGAAATTAGCGAAAATTTCAAACATGAGGGTAAAGTTGGCTAACCGAAAATCTATTGGGTATGATTGACGACGAGGACAAAACTTTGGGTATGAACGATATTTTTTCCTTATAGGGTCAAATCTATCTATCTATATACTATATTAAGGCAAAAACCAGAGAGAGAAATCTAAAGTTAAGGAGTACATGCCACATAGGATTTTATCTTATGTGGCATTTTCTTGATTTTTTAGATATAAAAATGCACAAAACAAAACAATAAAAATCAAAAAAAAAAAAACGCAACTGAAAAAGTCGAAACCCTATATTGATTCGACCAAATCCCTGCAAATCCGATGGACGGATCTCTTCCTCCTAAAAAAAAATGCAACTGAAAAAGAATTTTATATTAATAATTTATTAAAATAATTAAAGAAGTTAGGCCAACCTGAAACTTCTATAATTTAGCTTCAAATATGGAATTGAGTTATGGGTTGATGTAGCGGGCTAAGAAATCAAAAGTCACTCCGAAACAAGGAATAAAGGTCCTGATATCTAACTTTTTTTATTTTTTTATTTTTTCTTATTAAAAAATTGGATGGCCTCTACAACAAGTTAGGCTTCTTGTTTCTGTAGTAACTATTCCTTATCATAAACTTTTTCAAAAAAAATAAAACTAAAATTCCTTATCATAATTTCTTAACCACCCTAACCGACCTTTCCACCCCAGACTACCAATGTAGTCTACCAAGAAATATTGCAAGATATATAATTATTTAATTCAAAGTTCTTTTTTTTTTTTAATTTCTTAAGAATCTTTTTTGCGTTAAATAAATTACCAGTGTATTCGTTTGATAAAGTGTAGTCGATGCTTGTGTTTTATATTTTTTAATGAATTCATTATATATTTTATAAAAATACAAAAATTAATACAAATATTAACATTTTTTATTTGTTTATGTAGTAATGTTTATGTATGTGTGCTCCCCGTCCATCGGACGGGTCTAACACCTAGTAATAAGTAATGAAAAGGCCAAAACTCAAGGGTGAATGGGGAAAACTTATACTCCTTCCATCCCATAAAAATAGTCCACATTGAGTTTTAAGTTTTGTACTATTTTTTGAAAACTCAATGTGGACTATTTTTTGGGGATGGAGGTGGTATATAACTAAGAACAATAATAGAAAATAAAATCGCTACAGTTTAAGTGAAATGATCCTAGATCTTTGTTGATCGATAACTTTCAAGAAATAAGGCACAATTCTAGAATAACGCATGCAAGTTTATACTAGAGCCTGTTCAATACATTCAATTATGCAAATGCACACAAGAATTGAATTGAAGGAATAGTCCTCCTCACAATTCTGAGGACCGTTTCCCAGTGATTAACATTTTTCTGCTGTAATCATAAAGAGCAAAGACTCCCAGTTAGAAAGAGTATAATTAAAAAGTCACATTTTTTGGTCAGCTGTCTCATCCATTAAAATGCCTACAATTCAATAAAGGGGATTAGTCACTGTTACCGACGGTGGACACCCTTTACTCTGCTTAATTTTACATTTGAACGATCAAAGTTTTCGTCTACAATACCATATGCTTTTATCTTACACCAAAATTATGATGGACAGTTACAACCAAATAATTTGAAATGGTTTCTATGTGGCGGACTACTTTTTACACGAGCGATTGTTGAAATAATTAGTAGATACCGAATTTACATAAACAATGTAATGTATTATAATATGCACACTAACAATTAATTTGATTGAAAACCTATTTGTAAAGGTTTTTTTTTAACCTTATTGACTGAAAGTTTGGAGCTCCTTGTCTCTGTTGGGGTGGATACTTTTTGACAAATAATGAATTGACAGTTCTTTAAAAAAAAAATGGGAGTAACTTTTTCCCCAAATAATGAATCAACTTGTCCTCCTCGCACCACCCCTCTTGCACCACTTTAGCACCACCACTATAGAAAGATATAACAAAGATGTAACATCTCTTCAAGAAAAATAGGTTATTGAGAAGGATCATAAATATATAGGGAAGTATAGTTGAGCCCCATAAAATTAACCACAACAATTGAAGAACAACCCATGTGATTAAAGGTACTAAAAAAAAAAATTCAACCCCTACGAAAATGAAGGATAAATAACAGTCTTTCATGGAGAATTCCCTCAAAGTACACTTTTAAACCTCTTAGAGCACATTCAGGAAGGTAAAATGGACGACCCTCATGGTCTCTAATGCTGATCTACACGCCGATAATTATAAACTGTCAAAGCAGCCAGATCTCAGCTAGGCCAATAAAGATTAAATATAAAATCCAATTTCAGTCTCAAAAGGACAAAACACAGACAAAATCTCAGTCACTGAAGTATATGCCACAATCTAATTCCTTGATTTCTTCCTTGAAGACTTAGAAGACGCCTTTGGTTGCTCTGTGTTGTGTGAAGAGCCTTTGGAACTAGATGTCTGGTTAGATTTCGACACGTTAGAGCCAGCCTCTTTAACCACTGCACCTTGAGAACCTCTAACTTGGGCAGCTCTCTTGTCCTTTCTTTTTGGTCTGTAACTTGATCTTTCCTTCCTAGGCAGCCACCTCTCAGGATCTGGTGGAGGACCAGGGTTTGCAGGATCAAAACCTTTTGGGTATCTTGGCTTTCTCTTTCTCTTCTTCTTTGCTTTTTCCTTGCTTTTAGGTTCACTTGGTTCATTACTTCCCAGATTGAGACCACTCCCTTCAGGCTTCGCTCCTGTAGTTTTCTCCAAAGCATCTATATCGATTGCCTTTAAATTAGGCACTGCTTTCAGCTTTTTCTCATATAGTTCTGCTTTTTCAACATCTGTATATGCAGCGGTTTGAATTAACCCGACCAAAGCTCCCCTACTTCCACAGCTTTTAAACAAATTCTCATAAAGACGTGCTGCCTCGTCCCTCCGCCCGTGCTTGAGCTTGAAAGCAGCAGCCTCTTGGGTTATACTATCAAGCTTGTGATCTTCGGTCATGGAATTCGACCACCATTTAATTGCAGCATCAAACACCGCCTCAGCACCATCAATATCCCCAGCTCGTTCTTTGAGAGACACAATAGTGGCAACTGTGGCGGGCATGTGCTGGATGTCATCTATTTTTGCCAAAGACTCAGCAGCAATTTGAGGGTGGCCTGCAGCTGCCGCAATCTGTGCCCTTGCAAGCAACACAACTCTTGATTTTTCCGGGAACTTTTTCGCAAATTGTCCTAGTATCTCCTCGGCTTTTCCAGCCTTGTTTTCTCTCACATGCACGGCAGCTTGAAGAAGTACAGGTGTTACACTAGATGGAAACATGCCAGATAGTGTATCAACTAGTTCTCGGGCCTGCAACATATGGATCAATATATAGGATATAGTATCAAATACACAACAGAAGCTACAATATTGCATCCAAATAACTGTAAAACGAGGAAATGCAAACATTCACTAAAACCATAAACACACTGACATATAGCATTTTACCTGATCCAGTTTATGCGAATGAAGTAGTAACAAGACGCGGTTGGTGTACACTGCTTCTCTCTGCTTTGTGGAAAGCCTTAGATCAAGAGTGTGGTTGATCTTGAAACTTTGTTGTCCATCAACCTTTTCACTTAACCTATCAAGTTTCCTAAGACCATCCGAGACATCTTTAGGACCCTTCAATGCAATAAGATTGTTTATCGCCACAGCAGGAGTCAACTCATCATCTCCGAGATTTCTCTTTAAAATATTGGCATAGGATGCAAGAGCTTCTTCCGTGTTTCCAAGGATCTGCATGGGCATTGGCAGATTTTGTAAGACGAACAGAACATGTACAACTATCCAAGAATATCTGAGTCGTTCTCTTACCTGCTGAACATATGCTACTTGAACATTTATAGGTGCCAACTCAATTTCTATCTCATCAGCTTCATAATTATCTTCCACCAAAGCTTCTTGAGCAATTCTGTAAGAGCAATGGTTGCCTTAAGTGGATAGGTAAAAACTTGTTTCAAAGCACGACAGTACAAAACTATTAATGCTAGGACATAGGAGACGAGAAAAGCAAAGAACATTGGAGACAAGTAAATGATAATTGACTAAATGCTGAAGACTTGCAAGTAACACTTTAATCAAATTTTACAGCAGATTTAGTTACAAACACAGACAAAAAATAGTCCTGATCCTGTCTAACTTATACACAGCAACTATTCACATAAAGACTGCAATATTTACTCCAAAATGGAAAAGTTTAACAGAAAATGCTTAATGAGATAAGCATTTTACACAGCCACTAATCAATATAGGTTCTAAATTACACTAATCAAATGACCTATATTTCGCAACATATAATGAAATTTGAGATTGCAATATAAAAGCTTCAAAGAATTCATGAATAAGATCTCAAATAAACACAAAGGGAACAAAAGAACCTCAAAATAACATAGTGTGATTTTTTTATAATAACATTATAAAAATATAAAGCATTGAAAATACAGCTCTGGTATCCTTTCTGCTAAACAAATTTCCACAACATATGCAAAGTAACTATTACATTTGAAAACTTGCACTATAGGGATATCATTAATCAACAGTCAGAACACCCAACCCACAAAAGAAAATAATGGGTGACTGGAACTGGATATAGGACACAGATGAGGTAAAATTGTATCCTATAGCATCCATATGCAGAAAGAATTTGCGCTAATCCATCACGAAGTTGGAAAAATCTCTATATAGCATTTACAAACTTAAAGTTGACCACTTGAGACCAGAAAACATACTTCAAATAGAAAGTGTTACAGTAAGTAGCACCAGAATTCATGCTGTAAGAGTTCTCAGGAAATTTTGGTACGTTATCATTCTTACCCCTAAAGTAGAAGGCACATGAAATAACATACTTTTCTAACCATAAAAAGTAACCACATACAGGCAGGGTCGTCGGACCATATTGTAGATAGTCAAAGATAGTACTAAATTAAAACCTTACCATGCAATTTACGTATTGATGAAAAAGATTACAAATTACGATTGAAGTGAATTCTAACAATAAGAAACATTCATGCACAACAATAGGCTCATTATGCAAGAATATGATTTCTTAACTCGGAACATCTCTTAAACCCAAAAATACTTTCCAGTATGAGGATAAGGCTCATAGAACAATACGGATTCGTAAAAGTAAAAGATTGCATGAAGCAGGAACGAAATCAAACTGGCAACAAAAAAAACTGCATCATTAACCATCACCACCTACTTCACACAAAAAAGATATTTACAAATTGTCTTCAACCTATAGCTTAACACAATTACGTTCAGTTTAATCTCCATTCCTTAAGTTTTTAATGCAGGAAAAATAACATTTCAATTAAACAAGATTCGGATTGATAAAAAATTATAGAAGGTGGGCAAGAAGCAGGCAAATAATTCTTGAAAGAAAACCAATCCCATATTGCTGTTGAAGGAGTAACGGTGCACGACATAATCATGACATCTTTGATGAACATATGTGAAATTCATTTACAGGGAAGAACTTTGAGGCATTAAGTATTAACACAATAAGAAGGAACAAGTACAAGGTACATTACTAACTCTACAGTGTTACTACTACCACAATAACTACTTACTACCCTAGTCAAAAAGTCAGAGCGATCAGCTATTGAATAGAAATTGACCTTTGAGCTGATAGAAGGAGTTGCTCTGCATCTTTATACTGGCCCCTTTCAATCATGGAGCAGGCTACATTATATGCCAAATCATGACTGCTTGTTGCTTTAACTCTCATAGAGTCTAATACTCCTTGGACTTCAGAAGATTTTCCAGCAGAAACCAAAGCAGCAACAACGTTAATTTCCAAAGACTCAATCTTGGATTTAAGGAGCTTTTGATAATTATCCACACAAGCATCGACTTTTCCGAGACGGTACAAGATCTGAGCTTCTAAAACTAAAGTTTCAGGAGTCTCCTCTTGTCCTTTCAACAAATCCAATGCTTCATCCAACTTATTTTGCTTGTATAAGCAGTAAGCCTGTGCATAGAGAATGCCAATGCAAAGAAAATAAGCATATCAATAACATGTGTAAGAAAGCAAAAGGCATTAGAAAGATGACCATGCACTAACTCAGAGAAAAGATTCATCGAACTTGAGCTTTATCGAATCCTAACAAAACCCCAAAACAAGTAATCTGTCTGTCAGATTATAGGAGGAAAGCTGCAGTGATCTCACTATAGATCATTATTCAATTCGTCAATCACAGAAAAAGAAAAATGAAAAAAACCTCAAGCATCATATAGAGTCCTTTTAGCAAGTTAGTTAATCCTTCATGTGTTCATAGCTTTCTAAAAACATGTAGAAAGAACACAAATGTATCAGGAAAAAAAAAATCAAGAAACGGGCTTTTGCTCAAAAGAAAATTCTGGTACCATTTAGAACCGATAAACAAAAACAAACTGACAATGTTGCTCTTTTTAATTTAAAGAAAGACGAGCAAAGTTGCAAAAAAGAGATCTGCACTAAACCAGCATTATGAATTCTCATCATTGCTAGCAATTATTGACAGTTTTGACAGCTTCACATAAAGCCCTACTCAAGACACCAATGTCCAGCACAAACCCCTAGGAACTTCCAACAATTATTGATACCCAGCGACAATTCACGTAATAACAGATTGCTTAGTTCTTATTTCCGCCTTATCAACTCATTTCCAAAAGCCAACTATTACAATACATCACTTTCGCTCTTCTTAAGAAGTAATACCAGAAACATCAAATCGGCAGAACAGAAACTGGATACAAAGATATAAGTGAAAAGCTATTCAATGAGGAAAAAACTAGGGTAGAAATACCTTTAAAAAGCTAAAATCAACAGCAATCTTCTTGGACACTTCCTGAATTGTCCGTAAAGCTTCATCGAACTTTTCGTCTTTGACCAATGCTACAACTTTACAACGTGCGGCATCCTCATCGCTAGGTGCAATCGATAGCACTGTAAATGTGAATACAAGGAAGAAACATAATGTCAACGAATTTGACTAAAGAAAAACGAACTCAATTGAAATCTAAACTTAAAAAATAAACAAATTTGCGAAAGAAATACCTTGATCTGCAACTTTCACAGCCTGACTGTACTTATATTCCTGGATATGGCGATTAAGAGTCGTGAATAGATCTTCAATCGAAACCGCCGGACTCCCCGACCCCGTCGCCGTGGCCGGAGCAGCCTTGGGTTTGGCCTTCGGAGCCATTTTTTGATCCTACAAGTTTCTCCTTCGTTCAAGACCTAATCAGTTTCAAGAACCTTTTCAATTCAACTATCAACAGCAAAATTCTATCTGGAAATTGATATTTCTTCGATGCAAAAATCGGAAGTAACCCGGTAAGGATGATGGAGCGACTGTGAAAGGGGAAGAGAGTAAAACCCTGGGCTAGTTTTGATGGTTTCCGGCCCATCTAAACAATTTGGGCCAAATAATTTATGTTCATTAATCTAAGCCTAACGGAAATTCAAAACTTTTATTATATTATAGATGAAGTATTATTACAAGTATATTACTCAACCTAATTTTAAAAATATAATTATGTGATGAAAAATTTGATTTGATTTGATTGAATGTCCATAATTAAAATGTATTATTCTACTCACGATCAAGGAGATATGATTCTGTAATATTTAACATTAATGATAGAGTTACTTGGTTCACATAGTTTGGTCCCCAACCTCTTGTATAAATAGGGAGCTCATTCATGCTTCAAAAAGAATACAATCCTCTTATCTCTCTCTACTCTCTTGTCTCTCCTCTTTGTTCTTATGCTTAATTTCATATTAGTAGTCTAGCATTAATTTTATAACACGTTATCAGTACGAGACTCTAGTCAAAGAGCTTCTACCACCGCCTGAAGTTGGTGTGTATTAATTTTGAAAGCTTGAAGCCTCAATGAATATTTTAAAAGGTTTTCGTGATATAAAGCGACGTGACCTCAAAAATATTTCGGTGCACGAGTCTCTAGTCACACTGAGACGGTTCATCATGGAGTTCAATTTAATGACTCAAAATGATGATGATGGGAGAAAAAGGTAAATCATAAATCATGCATATTTGGTTTGGATATGAAGAAAAAATATTTCTTTTTATAAATTCTATTTACTCATATCATACAATCACGATGCAACTCTTAAGCTATGTATATGATTGTTGATCATGTGAAAGTATAAAATTTATATAAGTTGCATGTAATTGCGATAGTATCCATGTGTGCAAAGGAAAAAAAATATTTTCTGTAAAGAATTAATTTCTTTGAGCTTCTACCAAAGAGCTACCACTGCCTGAAGTTGGTGTGTATTAATTTTGAAAGTTTGAAGCCTCAATGAATATTTTAAAAGGTTTTCGTGATATAAAGCGACGTGACCTCAAAAATATTCCGGTGCACGAGTCTCTAGCCACACTGAGACGTTCATCATGGAGTTCAATTTAATGACACAAAATGATGATTATGGGAGAAAAAGGTAAATCATAAATCATGCATATTTGGTTTGGATATGAAGGAAAAATATTTCTTTTTATAAATTCTATTTACTCATATCATACAATCACGATATAACTCTTAAGCTATGTATATGATTGTTGATTATGTGAAAGTATAAAATTTATATAAGTTGCATGTAATTGTGATAGTATCCATGTGTGCAAAGGAAAAAAATATTTTCTGTAAAGAATTAATTTCTTTGATATTTAGATTGCAAGAAAAAATACTTTATTTTATTATCATACGTTTATTAATATTAGTAAAAATGTATTAATAGAAAGAAATCTCCTTCTCATATTTTATTTTGTACTTTTATATTTTACTTTACTCATAGTATTACTGATATTTACTAATGTAAATAAAATATATTGACAGTAGCAATATGAAAATGCATCAAAGTTGCTCCTGAAGTAGCAATGTTCCGATAGCATATTTACCATATTAAATTGCTCCAGTAGTAGTATTATCGCAAAATATTTGATGACATTAATTAAAAGCTTCAGTAGTGCATATGCATTGAATTATTCAGCAAAAATAGATGAAAACTTCCTATAGTATAATTACTCCGGAGAGTGAAAACAAATAAATGCTCCTAATGAGCAAATAAAATGAATTCATCATTGCCTCTTGAAGAACAATAGTAAACAAACTTTGCTCCTAAAAGAGCAAGAGAATGTTAGAAGGAGAAAGTGTATTGAAATACATTATATTCTTCAAGGTATCAAAGAAGGATGTAAATTGCTCTACTAACACAACTATTTTGAATTTGAAAATTTATTGTGTCTCCAGCAGAGTAGCGATACACTTTGTTTTTTAAAAGAGCAAGAACACTATGGTAGAATGAAAATAATTGAATAAAGAATATATTGTTAGAGTAAACGCTCATGTAGAGCAAAATTGTTCTGATATAGCTGAATAATTAATTCACTGTTTTCTCCAAAAAAGAAATTCCAAAATTTGGAATAACTAATTAAGCGATTCCGGTTTCAAGACGAAACAAGAAAGTTTGTATACATTAAATTTGGAGAACCAAGAATTTCTTCCAATAAATTAGAATATCAATCGATATGTCGATGAGATAGCCACATGTATGATTCTCGTTAATATACAACCTGAAATTTGCAAAAATTTTATTATGAAGTTAAATTCGTAACTTGCAGATTTTCATGTTCTGCTCTTACGAGAATTTTGATTTGATAATTGTGGTGAGTGTATGACTCAATACTAAAATGATAGAAGTTGAACATTGAGTACCTATAAAAGCAATAATGAAGCGGTCTAGTAAGATCATTTATTGCATGTGTACAATTAAAGTAATCACCTCATGCATAGTTGAGGAAGTGTTGAAACACGAAAGGCACCAATTATATGCATAAGATCAAACAGGTCATTGCAGATATTCTCCGCAACAGTGGTTTTCGGTCAGAAAACATACATATCCATCTTCAAAGATTACATGTGCAATCTATATTATAATTATTCCACCACAATGCACACAATGATGGAACCTCCAGAAGAGGTCAGAAATATATGTTGAATATTGAATCTCTAATGTTTGAGATTATTGATGTTGGATTAACTACTCGATGGATTGATCATATTAGTTTGACGAGTTAGTTACTCTGAAAAGGAAATCTATTAACTACTCGATTGGTTAATCGTCATTTTAGCGAGTTAGTTATCCTAACATCAAGGTAGAGGGGAGAAGTTAAAACAGCTTATTTATAAATTCAGATGGACAATGTAATTATCTCATTATGATCCTCAATGATATGAACATGAAGTTCAAGAGATAATTTTTAAGAGCAGATGTTTACCTGACCGAATGTGTAAATATATCTTATATAAAAGGCTGTTAAAACTTAAAATTTGATAACGTGTCCCTGAAGGACTATCTACCACTATTTGTTAGTTGAATATCCATTTGATGAGTGGTAGAACCATCGATTCCAAATGATAAAAATTCTCGTAAATGACAAGGTTTAAATCTATAGAGATGGCAAATACGAGTGATTATAATTCATAAAAATTTTGAACTGGAATAGTTTTCTATTACAGTGAATTAACTTCCAGAAGAAGTATATAAATGCTTGGGAAACTTAATGATTGTGAGATCTCATTACCGAAGAACATGGAATCGATCAGCAATAAAATGTCGACATGAAAATTGCTTATGCTGCAGCAGTAAAATAAATGAAAATGAGGATCATGAAATGTAAGTCTGTTGTAAGATGCAGACATTAAACTTATTGGCCATAACAAATGAAAAGACGCAATACACACTTGACGATGTGTACTTAAAATTGAAATTGCTTGAGAACTAGAAGTTTGGCAAGTGATATACGGGCTAGATTTTGGCGGGTGATTGTGCAAAAAATTATCGAGCAACTTCTTTGTTGCACAAGATTTTCTTAAAGTCTGGTTTATCTTGTGGTGGGTGAAATTTTTTTTTAATTATTATTTGCTAATCTGGTAGCAAATAAAGATAAGAAATGCGTATCTTGATTATAGTGATCACTTAATACGTGATACTTAATAATGACGTTTATATGAAATTTCCGAAGGATTAAAAATAAAGGGACATGATCCCAATTCTCGAGAAATTAATTTAAAGGACTTGTGCAAGTTATAATATTTTCATGTGTCTAAATATTTAGGTTCATATTTTTCTGAATATAATATGCTATGTTTGTTTTTATGTAGATATGTTATGTTTGTTTGTAACATGATTTTTTATCTGTTTTTATGATCATATTGGAATGATAGGATAATACTAATATTAGAGTGAAGTCATATATGCATTTACAATTTTGTTAGCATCGAACTCTTGTAGAGTTTCAAAAGCCTGAATATTATCGAAACTTATCACGAAGTTCGAATAATCTGAATATAAATAAAACTCCTGAAGAGTTATATCATAGTTATGAACACTTCTAAGGAAGTTCATAAGGTTTCTATTAGCCTGAAGCAAGGATAATGAAAGGTCTTGAGTAGAATCTCGGTCTAAATAGTTTGACCTTTGTATATTCAACACCTGCTGAGCGCACTTGATTAAAATCTTGATACGCATATAGATCATTCTTCTTGACTTTCTATTAATGATGTAGATCGATTTCGTCCTGAAGTACCATATAAAGTTTTGGTTTATCTAATCAATTAGTCAAGATTTGGATGTTGTATATTGATATCTTCAAGGTATGATGGTCATGCATCTCTATTATTATAAAACACTCAAGATTATATAGGTATATGAAGACAACCGTCTACATGAGAAGTCGACGTAATCTGTCTATTATTGATTTAAACAATCATAAACCTGGTCAATAATTTAGCATGCAACGAGAAGATTACAAGTGGCGTACTTAACAGGAGAGTAACCCACGCTGTACTCTTTTTCCCTCGATCGAGGTTTTGTCCCAATGGGTTTTCCTAACAAGGTTTTTAACGAGGCAGCGTCACATTCGTAAGTGTACTCTTTTTCCTTCACTAGGGTTTTATCTCAAAGGATTTTTCCTAGTAAGGTTTTAACGAGGCATTATTTCACAAAGATGGGCATTCAAAGGGGGAGTGTTATGAAATATTTGATTTGATTTGATTGAATGTCCATAATTAACATGTATTATTCCATTCACAATTAAGAAGATATGGTTCTGTAATATTTAGCATTAATGATAGAGTTATTTGGTTCACATAGTTTGGTCCCCAACCTCTTGTATAAATAGGGAGCTCATTCATGCTTCAGAAACACATCTGAATACAAGTCTCTTATCTCTCTCTACTCTCTTGTCTCTCCTCTTTGTTCTTATGCTTAGTTTCATATAAGTAGTCTAGCATTAATTTAACAAATTAGAATATTTTGATTTTAAAAAGAAAATTGTGTTGAATCTTTTATATACAATCGGAATTTTATGTTGTAGATTAATTAATACACTTTTCTTTTGTTATGTTTTTTTTTATTAACTCTAATTATATTTTTCATTGATTTATGGAAATTACTTTGGGCCTATTTGGTTGCCATGAAAAGTGCCCAAAGAAATTACTGTATCATGTCTTCTTATTTTTAAAAGGCCGGTGACATTGCTAGGGCTAAAATAGGCCGTAAGAGCAAATTAACCACTTATTTCCTAAACCACCCCTCATTCGATCAAACACTTTTATTTTCTTCTCTCCCCTTCAACACCCACTTCTCCCTCAATATTTATTAGTTAAATAACTAATCTAATCGCCAACAACCTTAAGTTAATTATTTAAAATTTTATTTGAGATACTATGTCATGGCGTTCAGATTATACCACAAAGCAGCAGCTGCTCTATAAATATTCTGGCTTTTTTTATGCCGCTGTCATATCTTCCTTGTAGACACACCACATAATTATTGGTAGTAAATTACAAATGTAAAGTTCGATTAGATGGTGAAAGTAAATTACTCAAATTTTTTAATGTCAAATTGTATCAGTGACACATACCCGCATAATAGATGTAGATTTCGTTAAAAGTCCATACTAATAATTTATGAAACAACCAGATAGACCAAAAGGCCACCATACAAGAATTCGTTGATTTTGTTTATGTTGTTCGTTTTCTTGTTTATGGATTTGTACTTTGTGTCCTTCCCATCCAAGGATCCGATGGATTTTGTTTTTGTTAATTAAACTTTGGAAACCTTATAGATAAATTGTTTACCTTATCATTTCTTTCAAATATTTGGTTGTGTTTTTCATCTAAAATCTATTACCTGAACATTTGAAATTCAAAAGCAAGTTGAAAATTGACCTCATACAAAGACTTTGGGATCATATAAATATGGGTTTTATATTGATTATTTTTATTTATGTGAGCATATTTTTCTCTTTGCAAGATCAAATTGTAACAGTGCAAAATTATTATTTGAAGATGAAAAATTATTGAAGGTATGGATTAGTGATTATTATAATGTCACGTAATTTAAAAACCTACAGTTAGAGTTTGGTGGGAAATGAATATTGTTAATCTTGTCGGAGAGATAAACTCAAAGAAGCAAATGAAGATTGATTTATGTGTTTAGAGAGAGAACCGAGAGATAGAGAAGAGGAAGAAAAATAGAAGATAGTGTGTTTAACTAAAGGAGGGTACCCTCCGGAACTTAATGTCTTGTTTTTAATACTGTTGTTTGATTAAAGTCAGCAGACTAGAAGTTCGTGATTTACATAATTTAGTGTATGCTAGAATGCAATGTAATAGTTTAGGTACTCCTTAATCAATACAGATTCCATTTCCAAAAAACAAACAAAAAAAAAAAGACTAAAGGAGAGGTAGTTTAGGGAATAAGGTCGAGATAATTTGTTCTGGCGCTTAATTCTAGCTTTGATAATATTGCCACCTTTTTGAAATTGTTCAATTTTAAGAAATTTATGTAGTACAAAAATCTTAAAATCAAGGAAAATAAAACAACTTCCCAAGATTCTTACTATCCATCTCAAGGTTGGTATTCTTTTTTCCTTATTAATAGATTTTAATCATTAAATAAATTTATTGTATTTAATTTTTTCTATAACCAATTTTTCCTCCATGTCATCGTATTTTTTAATTGATCAAACTTTTTTTCACTATTTATTTTCTTCACTACTAAATTTAAAATGACTTTTCTCATGTAGGAGATATACTTATTCAAATAAGTGAATTTTCTATAATGGTCTATTATATTTTACTGTAATTTTCAATTTTAAGAGATTGAAATTACAATGAGATTAATGAAAAACAAAATTATAAGACAATATTTTGTTTTAGATTGAATTGAATGGTTTCATCTCTAACAAATTTTTAATTGTTGCAACTTTGTGAAAAATCTATAATTTGAAGTAGAATTCATTAATAATTTGTTTAAAAACATGTTAAGATTACTTTTTGTGATCAAGTAATTAGATTTCATTTCTCTTAATAAAAAATAAAAAATAATCAAAATTCCGACAACAACATTCTTAATTATTATATTTCCAAACAAAAGAAAGTAATCCAATTTTCTTTACTTAGAATTGTCCTCCACAAGAGGAGGGCGTCCAAAAAAATTTCCTTAAATTTAAATACAATAAATGTTAATTTTACTTTCCCTTACTTTTCTAACAACCAAATAAGCCCTTAGGTTCTTTTTTCTTGTTTTTTTTTTCTTTTGAGGTAATTTATCGACTTCAAAACCTGAGATAAAGGTAAATTGAGTATTAAGTTATAGAGCTTGTTTAATAATACTACTTATTGTTTAAAATTATTTCATTAAATATATTTTAATTTTAGCAAGTTTGATAATAAAAACTGAAGCTCTTAATGAATTAAGTGGTGCAAAAACAAAAATACAAAATATAAGTAATAAAAGTTAGCTTATTGCTGATTCTGTAACTGTTTAATGAATTTAATAATTGTAATTCAGTATTAAACATTCAGAATTAAGTAATAGTTTCTATCAAACAATTCATGTATATGTATGTGCAAGAAAGAAATAATAAACCATAGAACTATTCTACAAAATAAAAAGCTCCATAAAAGTGCATTGGAAAAAACTCAAAAAAGCCCACTTTGTTAGAAAAACGGGAATGCGCAGAAAAACGGCGCCGTTGGACATACAGCAAAAACAGCAAACTAACTTTCCTTGTAGTCCGGTCCTTTCTAATTAATCAAAATTAAATACCTAAAAATTAAAAAATTAAAACCAAAATAAAAAGGAGGTTTTTAAAAACGTTACTGCGAGAAGACTCCTTCAGCTTTCATGGTGGTGGTGGACTTTGACACGGTGTGACAGACTTACGATTCCGGCGGTGGAAGAACAAATTTCCGGTGGATCTGCTCTGTCTTTTGGTTCTATAATAACTCTCACGATCTTCTTCAAAAAGGGCCAGCTTCAATGCTTAATAGTTCGTCCACTCTCCCCTGATAAGCTCCCCCCCTGTGATCTCCGTGAGTATTGTGTAAAAGTCTTCACACTTTAATTATTTTGTGTGTGATGTTCAACGTGTTCACTTGAAAAAAGTGCATTAATCGTGGAGATCTGCTCTGTCAATGTGTCCCCATTTAGGATTATTTTCGGTGGGAGGGTAGTTGAAATGGGTTTTATGTTTTATTTTATTTTATTTTTTATAATTTCCAACCAAAAATGATATTGGTGTCTATAATTCCGTGGAAGACAAAATTCTTCTGTAATATGTGTTGTCGAGTGATAAATTGTGGTTAATAGCCTTTCTCTTATGTGGGTTTTTCTACAGTGCAAAAAAATTCAGTTATTTGAGTTTTCATATGCTATAAATGGCGACTGTATGTTTTCTATTTATCAGTTTGATAGTCAATTGAGATGTTGATGATGGATATTTGAGCTGTACCGAAGAACATGATCCGGCATTTTGTTTCGATGTTATTATTGGCATTTTGTTTCAATGTTATGATTGGGTCTTATGATTTGTGCATGTTAATATTTTTACATAGATGTATACTGATGCTTGGGCTTTTGTACTTTAGAAAGCACTGGTCTTGTTAGTATTAATTTCAGCATATTTTTGTACGGAGTTGCAAGGATATTGCAGTTATTGGAACCATAGATGTTTACATGAATGCCTTCTTTTTACAATCAATGGCCTTTCTTGATTATAATTGCAGCTGCCAAATAAAAGCCTCGTACAGGTGTTTGGTTGCCTTGATTTGTTGGTTAAAACACGGAAATGATCTAAAAAGTTGCTTTATTTAAGCACCTTGTGCTGAAACTAACATAAAATTTCTGCCTTTTGTCTCTACTGTTAATAGTTACATGGCTTATCCCAATTTATATGACCGGCCAGATGGATCACATCTTGCCAATATTTCTCTAGATATATTTTCATCTGCATTCTCTATGCTCTGGCTAATCCTGGCATTGTTGTTTTGTAGATTGCTCTGACGCAAACAATCAGCAGCCTTTTCCTCTGCATACCATGCTTAAAAGATTACCTCTTGATAGTGGATACTTACAGTCAGTTGCATCTTGTAAAATATAGGCAGGAGTTTATGAGGAAACATTGGTTTTCCCAGCTTTTGTAATCTCCAAGACTATGGTGTTTGGAAAATTTGCAGAAATTTTTTCTTCTGCAGCAAGCCGTCTTTCAGCACCTAAATCTTCTAATGTTGGACATCTTTCACCCGGATTGCCCCCTTTGCCAGGATCTCATCGTGGGGTTGGTTATACCAGCATTGGCCAAAAGAACAATCTGCGACTGTCATCATCCCTTCAAGATTTTTCTGCTTATCGGCAACTTGATTTAGAAGATGGTGATAGTGCTATTGATTTCCAGAATAACTCTACTGTATCAAAACAGGTTAATCTTCTGCAGAAAGAAAGTGGTGGGTCAAGTTTTTCCAAGGAGAAAGCTGCCCCAGGGATTGGTTCTACACGAAAAAAATGGATTAGAGTCAGCTTGGTTCTCCTGTGCTTATTTTTGTTTGCATGTCTTGTTTATGTGGCACAATATTTGTATTTTAGTTGGTCTCAAGGGACAGCCAAGTATTATGTTGTGCTTGATTGTGGTAGCACTGGCACCCGTGTCTATGTCTACCAAGCTTACATGAATGGGAAAAATGATGGTAGCCTCCCAATTTCATTGAGATCACTGCCTGAAGGGTTTCAAAGAAAATCTGGTTCTCAGAGTGGGCGTGCTTACAATCGAATGGAGACTGAGCCTGGATTTGATAAGTTGGTACATAACAAATCTGGGTTGAGGGGCGCAATCAAACCTCTTATCCACTGGGCAGAGAAACAGATTCCAGCTCACGCGCATAAGTCTACCTCTCTCTTCATGTACGCGACAGCTGGGGTTCGCAGGTTGCCAAGTTCAGACTCAGAATGGCTTCTGGACAATGCTTGGTCCATTTTAAAAGGCTCCTCTTTCTTGTGTAAGAGAGAGTGGGTTAAGGTTATCTCTGGCATGGAGGAAGCATACTTTGGATGGGTTGCTTTAAATTATCATACTGGTGTTTTGGGAGCCATGCCTAGAAAACAAACCTTTGGTGCACTTGATTTAGGAGGCTCTTCGTTGCAGGTTACTTTTGAGAGTAAGGATGGGATTCAAGATGAAACCAGTTTAAAGCTAAGCATTGGCTCTGTTAATCACCACCTTAATGCCTATTCTTTGTCGGGATATGGATTAAATGATGCTTTTGACAAATCTGTATCTCATCTGCTGAAGAAGCTTACTCTAGCGGGTGATGTGAATCTTCTTGGTGAAAACATTAAAGTTAAGCATCCTTGCTTGCAATCTGGTTATGAGGAGCAGTATTTCTGTTCTCATTGTGCTTCTCTTTATGCAGAAGGCGGGACTCCGCCTACTGGGCAAAAAAAGATTGAGAATGGAGGAAAACCGAAAGTACCTATTCAGCTTGTCGGTGATCCAAAATGGGAAGAATGCAGTACACTGGCTAAAGTTGCTGTGAATTTGTCTGAATGGTCTGATCAAAGTTCTGGAATTGATTGTGAATTGCAGCCTTGTTCTCTAGCTAGCAATCTACCACAACCTTATGGCAAGTTTTATGCTATGTCTGGCTTCTTTGTGGTGTATCGGTTTTTTAACCTGACAGCTGATGCTGCACTGGATGATGTTTTAGAGAAGGGCCGGGAATTTTGCGAGAAAACCTGGGATGTTGCGAAGATCAGTGTTGCACCTCAGCCTTTTATAGAACAATATTGCTTCAGAGCACCGTATGTGGTGTCTTTGTTGAGACAGGGCTTACACATTACTGACAGTCAAGTCGTTGTTGGGTCTGGAAGTATCACTTGGACACTAGGTGCTGCTCTCTTAGAAGCTGGGAAATCTGTTTCAAAAGGGTTGGAATTACGCAGTTATGAGATTTTTCAGTTGAAGATAAACCCAATTGCTCTTTTTACCGTATTGGCTATTTCCTTGGTTGTTCTACTTTTTGCATTATCATGTGTTAGTAATTGGACACCCAAGGTTTTCCGAAGGCAATATCTCCCACTTTTCAGGCACAATAGTGCTTCGGCCTCTTCAGTTCTGAGGTTTCAGCGTTGGAGTCCTATCCGTTCAGGTCTGATCTTTGGTAACTTTTAACTCGATGTCTTTGTTAATTTTGGTTGGAATCTTCCTTTGTCTTTCAACCTCAATTGTTTCCTCTTTAGATTTCCTTCTTTCCCCCCTTTGGGGTGGGAAAGAGGTTAACATTCTTTGGCATGGCTGCTATGGGGGAAGAAAAACTCTAGGGTTATCAATTCAGCAACATTTATTCTGGCTTTGGAGGCGTATGGTATGCGGCCTAGTATACCATATGCGCCTATGGTTACTGTTTGATGTGGAAAAGTGCCTAGCAGCACAGTTTGAATGATCCAATCCCTCATTTAACCTGCGCTTTTGTGCACCTGCCTTTTGAACCTATCCTATTCATCTCTGCACACACTAAGCATTTGGCACTCTGCAGAAGTTTTTGGTTATTGTTACTGCTCAATTCATTTTCTGAATCACTGGCAGTGTTGTCATTGCTCGTGTAATTTGTTCATTTTATTCTATCCTCATGTGTGTGTGTGTGTGTTTTTTTTTTTTACTTTTTTTTTTGTTTGGCTCATTTCCCGGTATATATCTTCCTGACAAATTTGATTCTTTCAACTAAAAGTTTTGTTATCTGAACATTTGTCATATTTTCAATTTCCATGCTCGACTTATCTTTGTGCCAAATATATCTTCCTGTGAGGTCCACCCATTTTATTTCTTAAGAGTACGTATAAAAATTTTGTTTATCTTACCTGCTTGCAGGTGATGGAAGAGGTAAGATGCCGCTGAGTCCAACAATTGGAAGCGGTTCACAGACACCATTTGACATAGGGCATGGTTTCAGTGGCAATGGAGTCCAGCTTACAGAATCTTCAATGTACCCCTCTTCCAGCAGTGTATTGCACAGTTATTCCTCAGGTACCTTGGGGCAGATGCAATATGACAGTAGCAGTACAATGAGTACCTTCTGGTCTCCACATGGAGGCCAGATGCGGTTACAGAGCAGAAGATCCCAATCCAGGGAGGACCTGAATTCTTCTCTGGCTGATGCGCACTTAGTGAAAGTTTAAAAATGGACTTCATTGATATGACTTGCTGGAAGGATTCATAACGTGCATAAAGTTGAGAAACAGTAGTTTTTATGGACCAAATAGATGTGGTCCCTAAATTGGGGTCAGGGAGCATCTTTCCTTGTCTTCATACTGGAATTCCTTTATGGGTAAGGGCTTCTCTAGCAGCTGGTACTTTTGGAAAGATGACTCTTGTACTCGATATTCCAGTGAGTACGGCCTCCAGAAAACTGCTGGTAGGCTAGTGATGGAGCTTATGGTGATGCACTTGGACGAAAACTAGTGATGATGATGAATTACCAATGTTGACAAGTTAAAGCTTTGTGAATACTCCGACACGAACTTTATTTTGGTTTTTTCTCCTAACTGGCTATACAAATAGGGCACTCACTCGGAATTCAGTTGATGCTGCTGATTGTCTAGAGAGTTTAGAAGCATTTAATTATTCTTCTTCTTTCCTAGAAGCTTTTAGTGTACGGCGCTGTCAGAGAGATTGGAGCAGATCAGCAGGTTGGCGTTGGAGGATGGCACTGTGCCCTATAAATTTTGGTTGCTCACTGACGTAAGATATGTGAAATTTCTTCAATCTTCCATTTATACATTCTTTTAAAACTTCAACTCATTCATAGATTTTACACGTATGGCAGATTAATTCCCTCTATAGAGACTTTATGTTTCTTTAAATAATTGATGCGTTCTATGCAAATACATGTCTTGAGCATGTTGGATCACTGTGTTTTCCGTATTGGAATAGTATGATGGTCGTAGAAGGTGTAGCGTTTAGTTTTCTCACTGAATGATGGTGTTGCATTTGCTAGAAGATTATTAGTGCACATTCAGAATAATTGAAGAAGTCTTTACATTGTGAAAAGGTAACTGCATCACAGCTATTAGTGAGAAATTTCAGTGCTTTGTTACCCCACTTGTCATCGGTTGTTTGCTATGGTATTCGTCGTTTGGTGAAACCAACAGTTATTTGGAATTTAGAACCCCGGATGTGTCTTGAACGTTGCTACTAATTCCGATTGTTTGATCATTGACCATTGTATATTATGTGCCTGTAATTACGGCTGCTGACAGATGGATTTAGTTATTTCCATCTCTGAGTTCAATTTGAAGTTATGCTTTTCTTGTCTTCGTTTAACCTAAAGGTCCTGAAGCGTCTTTACTGTCATTGGGGGCATAGAGATAAGAGTTCTGTTGTAAGGTTCAAAGAAGAAACATAGTCGGATGCCGTTCAATATGAGAATGGATGCTTGGACAGATAAGTAATAGGTCCCACATCGCCCGAAGTCATGGCCAATTAACGGTATAAATTAAGGAGTGTTAACACGGTTGGTTGTCCAAATTAGAAGTGGCTACTTGGTAGTTTACTCTAATGTATATGGACATGATACCCTCACACTGGGCCAGGGCTACAACTTATACCGATGATTCCCTGTCGAGAGGTGGGCTTGGGGTTTCTTTTTGGGCCGGCCCAAAGAGGATAATGAATAAATTTAAATTAACTAATATCTCTAATTTATTTTTATGAAAATATCTTAATGAAAACATTAATAAATTCTTCAACCACGATTTTAATTAATATTTAGAAAATTGTTAAACCCAATGGGGACACGCCTATGAAAAACTGTCATCCAACTAATGATTATTATTAATAAATTTAAAAAAATCTAATCTCAATTTATTGATTTCAACACTTTCAACCATGTTTAGGTGGTTAGTTAAGGTAATGGTACATTTAATATCTAACTAAAAGATTAATTTTAAATAGGAAAACCAACCTATTGAGACATCCCAAAAAAATAAATATAGTTTATTAAATTAGGACGGAATGAGTATTAAATAAATTGACGGGCGAAAAAATTCATCCTTTTAAAAGTATTTCTACACAATGAATTTTGAATTAATACACAAATGTTGTTCATAACCTTTTATTCCTTTTTTTTTTCCCTGTTATCATGAGCAACACCTTGACCTTGAGTGCAAACTCCAATTTTAAACTTAAAACGAAAAAGAAAGAATAAAAATTGGAGTATATGTATACTGGTCATTTGGTTGGCAGAAAGGTATAGTCATCGAACCAACTAGTTTGAAGTTCTATCAATTTTGAGGCTGCGTTTGGTTAGATTGAATTGTAATTTAATTCGAATTACAATACTATTTAATTGAAAATGAGATATTTAGATTGTAATTCAATCATAATTTCTTTATTTGGAAGATCTTGATAATTGGCTAGAATTAAGTTTTTAATACCAATTCTTGCGTTTGAATGCATAAAAATTTAGATATTTTAAAATTGGATTAGTTTCTTATTATTTAGTTAATACAATCTAATTCATTTCAAAAAATAGAAAAATAACTTTAGTTTCTTATTAATATGATAATTGATATTCTCACTCAAGATACAACAAATAGTTAGAACGTGTTTCTCATTATTTAAGTAATATAGTATAGATTTTTCTTCAAAAAAGAAAAAAAAACAATTCACCTAACTTGTTATATATAATCTTTAATTTAATATATATATATATATATATATATATACAACATCTTATTATGTGTATATAAAAGATGAAAAAATAAATTTGATTTTGTAACAACTATTACTTTATCTTTGGTAGCAAAGTATTAAGATCATAAAACATTACAAATGAAAAATTAAAGTTACAATCCAATCTTAAATTATTATTTTTAGAACATCAAAATAATTAATTGAAAATGAGATTGTAATACCAAATTCTTTGTTCGGATGTTTGAAAAAAAAAATACAATTTAGCAGTTACATATAATTGCATGTTTACTAATGCCAACTTTACTTAATTTATGGTGTCATTTTATTTATATACAGTATTTTTTAAAAAGTTTGGTAATTTTTGGGTATAGAAGATACTCCCTCCGTCCCATAATTATTGTCCTGTTTGAGTTTTTATTTTTAGTTCAAATTGTACTAAAAGTAAAAACCCAAACTGGACAATAATTGGGACGGAGGGAGTACATATTAGTTAAACCTTTTTTACATAAAAAAAAAGCCACACCTTAATAGAAACAGTTATTTGATTACTTGCAATTAAAATGATGAATGAAGAAAATTAATTAAAGGCAAACAGTGTTTTTAAAAAAAAGAAGAAGACAAAAAAAAAATTGTGTGGAGCCGGAAGTGGGAGTACTTGAAACTTGGAGGACTCCACTTTTTTTTTTTTGTGCGTGTAACACGCGCTCTCCAAACTTATTTAGTTTTTAATCATTTTGACCCGTTTTTCTTATAACCCGCATTTGACCCTATAATGACCTGCGAGTTTTCCTTAAACCCATCGAATTTGAATTGTAATTATTTGCTCCTACAAAAGAATTGAAAATAAAGAATTGAGCCCCGTTTTGAATTATAATTCTAATTCCGAAAATTTTAATTTTAGCAGTCAAATACAAGAATTGGAATTGGATCCAATTCAATCCAACCAAACAGAGCCTGAGTGAAATTCAAATATATATACTATATTAAGACAAAAACCAGAGAGAGAAAACTAAAGGCATGGAGCACATGCCACATAGGATTTAATCTTATGTGGTATTTTCTTAATTTCTTAGACTTAAAAATGCACAAAACAAAATAATAAAACAAAAAAAAAGCAACTAAAATAATTTTTTTAAAAAAGAAAAATAATAAAAACCAAATCCTTATTTTCATGAACCAAATCCTAGCACAGAGATTGATTGGAGATTACCAAATCGTAACAAATTTTAAAGAGATCTGCATAAACCTTATCACCAGTGAATTTAAAATGTCATTTAAAAAAATAAATTCCTGTAAATCCAGAGGTAATCATGTTTAAAACTGAAGTCATTACATAGTTTATAAAAATATAAAATATATGTAAAAATATCTAAATGTGTATGCCTTCCCCGTCCATCGGACGGGTGTAACACCTAGTTTTACCTATAAATTATTGGAATGTGTACGTGGCACTCTTGAGTAGATTTGATATTATATCTCAGGTCAGTAACTTCCAAATAAACTGCTTATCATTTGAATAATTAATCTTTTTTTTTTTTGGAATTACAGTTTAACTTGTAACGGTTATATGTAGCCAACGAAAACCTTCAAGACTGGCAGCAAAGAACCCAAGTATAAATTGAGTACTCTGGTGCAAAATTAATTGGAAGTACACAAATATGCCATATTTCCGTGCAAAGTCGACCGCACACAAAGACTTGCTGGATTTTATTTTATTTTATCTTTTTTTTCCTAAAAAAAAGTCGATTTCAATTAAGAGATAATAATATGTTACAAAAGTGAAAAATTTAATTTTCAACAATGTAGTCAACAAGCAAACTAGCACATTTGCACATGCAGACCTAATTATCAAGAATCAGTTGATGAGTTATCCATAGATCTGATGAACATTAATGGAGGCCAAAAAGTCGTCATGAAAAGGAGTGATGACACAATGATATATAAGAAAAAACACATTAGTATACATACGAACTTTAATTTGAGTTTTTGTTAGTAATTCGTATGATTTTGCTTAATTCTGCAGGAACATTTATATACATCATTTTTATTTTAACTTTGAATCAACAAACACCGAAATCATGGGAGAAAATGAAAGATAATGTTAAAATATTTTCCTTTTTTTTTTTTTTTTTTTTGAAAAGGGGCGTTCTTTACTCTCAAAGTAGTCACTAACTGGCCATAACTCTTTCCCTTTAAATATTTCTGAAATTTCTGAATGAAATTATACTCAGGGAAACAAAAAAAAACTGGCAGCTAGTCTTCCAAAGAGATGAAAATTAGGGAAAATTGTAATCTACTTTATGCTAAAAACGACTCCAAATTAAATTTTTATATTTGTATTAAAAATAGTACAACTATCAAAATTATGTGGACTAGTTTATTTTAAAAGAGTAAGACGTAAGTTTGATCTTATTAGGGCTATATACAACAAAACTACTATAGCCCCAACATTAATTCACGAAGAGATGAAGGACATGGACGAGCAGGAAAGCTGGACACTGGGCAAATGATAGAAATAACATTATAAGTTTTCTGGAACCGCTAACTACGTACTCTTCACTTTCCTTTCTATTTGCTATACTTGTTATTGAGTTGGCTAATCCCACATTCAACCTACAATTGTGTGCATCTTGAGTTCTCGCAGAAGTGTTTGAGACTTAGTTCTTTTCACCAGTATTTGGAGATTTAATTTGTGTTAAAATAACCCATGTAGTATTAATTTAAATATTTGAGGAAATCATAGAGTTTAGTCCAACTAATGCACGTTAGGATTTTTCCTCAACACTTGGACAAGTGATAAAAATTAGTCTTTTTCCATTAATTTTTTTGAATCCCTCAACAGTTAAATGTATTTTCCCCTAAGTTGATCGTATTTATGTCTCGAATTGATTTATTTGAGATACTACCTCCGGTTCTAATTATTAGTTATAAATTTGAATTAATTTTAGTATTAATTTGTGTCTTATGTCCAATATGATCATGATTGAGACAGTTCATCGCTGTCTTTTTTCTAATTTATTTTTTTTCAATAAGGCAAACAATTGAGATGCAAATAGTATTTGTCTTAAATAGTTTGAGATAAATAACAAATAGTTCTAAACTCGTCTTAAAAAAGTTATGAAAAATCGTTCGAACGCCAAATCATCCTAACATACTTTTTGGGATGATTGCAATGGAACAGACGGTTTACTATCTCAAAGGCATCCTAAAACCGATTTGGGACAACAAAATAACGAAATGAGACAGTTAGGACGTCTCAAAAAGTGGTCTTTTCTTCTTTTTTTTTAATTTTTTTTTTTTGACCAGATGAGTGAGTTCCAAATTTTTTGGTTTGTTAAAAATTTGCGCATAATTTTAGCTAATTTACTAACCAACTCTAGGAATCTATAATAATCAACAAATACATTGAAAATAAAGGGGGAACCTAGCAATGGTACACTAGTAGTCTCTAATTCGATCGGGATTTTTTTTTCTACAAAAAAATTCATCATTTCGATGTAATTACAAGGTCTTTTTCTTATCCCCATCCCAGCAGCCCTATTCCCTCAAAAGAAATTGTTCTCTCCACACCCTCAGTGTCTTTTTATTGTAAGGGAGGAGGTGTGTTATAATTCAATCCTACTTTATTTCCGACTAACATGTCATTTTTTTGTCTAATTAATTTAGGCAGTTTTACCGTCCAAGTTGTTAAATTAAAAGTATAGCAAAATGTATGTTCAAATCTAACACATTATGAGATTATACTACTACTTGGATTTTGCATAGAAAAGGTGCATCCACCTGTGTATGTACAAAACACCCTTAATCTTCTACACCATTTTGTGCAATATGCTCAGCTGCTTACTCAACAAAAAAAAAAAGAAAAAGAAAAAAAAAAAGAAAAAAAGAACTGAATAACCAAAACATGAAATCCTCCAAACAAAATCATCGTTATTTTTTTTTGTAGAAGTGATTTGTTGCAGCAGCCACTCGTACTTTGGATATTGTTGTTCATGACATTTTTTTTAGTTTTAGCTTCAAAAATAACAAAGACTACATTGATGACTCCGATTAAACAAGAGATTACATTGTGTTTACTAATCAACCCAAAATCCAAGATCTCAAAGATAATGCGATTCAGATTCTGACTTTAGTTCTAAGCGCAGGTATATATGTGTGTATTTCTTTTTCCCCTGCAGAAATCATGCGATAATTCTAAACGGATAGTGTATTCGTTCATTTTTAATATATTCTTCAAGTTTCTTTAGTTGAAGAAACTTTATTTCTTAAAAAGGCAGGAACCATTCTACAAATGGAAGTTCCTTTTTAGTTGCATGGGGCAGTAACATACCACATTTCTAGTTTTATGTCTAAAATTAGAGTAAATAACCAAAATGTGAACGTTTTCAAAAAAAAAAAAAAGAAAAACAAAAATTTGAAAATTTATATATATGGTCGAATGCAATTTTTTTTTTTGTTCTTCAAAAAATCAACTGATGATAATAGAATAATTGCAACTTTGATTGGATATATAGTTGTTAGATTTTAATAATTGGAAAGATGTGATGAAATCTGGCAATGTTAATTGTGGGTTTTTTTTTTTTTTTTTCAGCAAAGAGGATGCATATATTAGGATGTGTATATATGAATGTTGGCCCTGGATTCTTAGCTATGCTCACTCGAAATCAAGCCTTACTGGTGTACATAAAAGAGAGCGAAATGTATCAGCTTCACCCCCATCATGATGATGAAAGGGCAGAGTGGATGGAGCAAGAGTTTATGAATATCCCTGGCTTGAAGTTCTAATAATTAGTCACTGTTTGAATTAACACAACTTTCGGCTCAACAATTTTGTTTATGGTTTATTGAGAAAATAAAAGTAGTCTTTATTCTTCACCTTCCATCTTTTCATGTTCATCTTGGAAACATAGTTGGGATTAGTGATTGTTTTATCCTTTTCACATGGTTGAGTTTTCTTTATTTGGTAATAGAGATTTTGTTAATGTTTGGTGTATTGTAGTAACACTGACGTATATTCTTGTATATTGCCCAAAAGATACTTCCTATTTTATCCTAGTCAGTCGGTGCCCACCTAGTTAATTGATGGCAAAATTAGCCCTGATGATGGAGGAAAAGAAGAAGAAGAAAAGCAGTGAATTGATTCTGGAAATAAACTTGGTGTCAGCGCAAGGATTGAAGGTTCGTTCCAAGAGCAAAAGCAAGACTCGAACCTACGCTGTTGTTTGGGTTGATGATGTTTCGTCTAACAAATTGAGGACTGGAACGGACGGACTGTCTCGGTGATAAAAACCCTACTTGGAACGACAAGTTTCTCTTTCGGGTTTCGTCCGACTTCGTCAACAGCGCCACCGCGGCTTTCAACGTCGAGATTTACACCGTCGGACATCGCCACTTTTTGAAGGATTCCCTGGTCGGCACCGCCAGATGCCTTCTCAGTAACCTTTTGGGAAAGATGATCACCCCGGTCCACGTTCACCGTCCATCGGGAAACTTCCACGGGATCTTGAACGTTTCGGCTTCACTTTGTGATGAAAAAACACATCGGAGTATTGGATTTGGGTATGTTTCGGGGATCTTCAGGAGTTAGTTCTCACGATTTGACTATAACTAAAAAATGTGAAGATGAACAGGAGGGCAACACGAGTGCTTTGTTTAGGAGGAAGTTGGGGCTGGTTAAATCGTCGACGTCGTTGTCAATAACCATGTGGTCAGCGCCAACAACTCCGTTGAATGAATCAAGGGAAGAAGTTGCAACGATAAGGAAAGTAAAATCAGATTCGTCGATGCTATCTTTAAAGGGAGATCATTGGCCGTCCATGTTGAGGACTTCGTCATCCTTTTCCACTCTGCCGCACGACGAGCTCTAAATTGCATGAACCTAAGCATTCGTTTATTGCATGGCTCAAGCGGTGTAAACGGCTCTTAACAAGTGACTGACTGGCTCAGTGTCCATCGCATGCAGTGGTAGATCCACTGTGTGCATTGTGCCAGAAAGTTTCAGAGAGCCACACAACTTGAAGATATATACTTATCGAAGATGAACATGGAATTTGGGCTGATGAGAAGGACAGAAATCAAAGGAGGGAGGGAGTAAGAACGCCCAACTGACACATGATAAAATATCAACAGCGCTACACTGAAGGGACAAGATTGAAGAGACTTGGAGAGAGAGTACTGCTCAAATTGGAACAGTTCTCAATGCCATCTACTAGAAGCTCATGACCCTTTCTATTTCTTTTTACTAAATCTAAAAGGTCATCCCCTCCCTCCTTACTCCTTAGCTTGTAAATTTAACGTTTGAATCAATGTAAAGGGTTATCCCCTCCAGGGCTTGTCCTGGTTTATTCAAAAAACAAAGAAGGAAACAATGCATTACGCATGAGCATGTGATCGTATAAGTTCTGTATACCAGTTTAATAATGATCAGCATGGTGTATAAGTTCATGTTTACCTTTTTGTAATTAAGCCTATTGATTCACTATTGAATCCAGTCTTGATTTCTCTCGTTTTACTCCAATGTTTTTTTTTTTTTTTTTCAGATATAAGATATATATTGTGAGTAGCCTACTCACCATCTGATTTGAGGATTAATTAACTACTTCAAGTGTCACTTCCCTACTTCCCTTGGAAATAAATTGTAATACATAAAACCACACTTCAGCATTATCATAACAGAAAAATGATCGAATCGATTATAAATCACAATAGTTATGGATAATTTTAACCTTCTCACCATCTGATTTGAGGATTAATTAACTACTTCAAGTGTCACTTCCCTACTTCCCTTGGAAATAAATAATAATACATAAAACCACACTCCAGCATTATCATAACACAAAAATATCGAATCGATTATAAATCACAATAGTTATGGATAATTTTAATTTAGTGAATAATACATTAGTCACTGTTAATTTATTATATTAGTACTCCCCTTAAACAGGAATTGAGGTTTGACACGTAACAAATATTTAGAATAGAAAGTTATCGGCATTTCTAAATACTGGTGCTATCCGTGTCGCGTGTTGCGCCACAAATTCTTTAAAAATTTTTTTATTCATCTTTGTATGAATTAGCCGGTTGTGATTAATATTAATTAAAATATTTATCTTTACGCCTAATACTTGATGTGTAGAAATATATATATATATATATATATATATATATATTATGTTCAGGAATCGAATGTGATTGAGCATTTTTCTAATTATACAAGGGAAGGGAACGGAGGATACATCATGTAAGATTATTTGAAAAAATTTGTTAAAAAGAAGCAAAATTTAACACGTATATAAGGAAACATATTCACGATTATTAATTGATTTGATGAAATATCAATTCAATCGTAAAAATAATATGACGTGTAAGATAGAAGAAATGGACACAATTGGCATCTCTAACATACACCGTGTGCGTTTATTTCCGAGGTTGAATGATTCTTTGTAGACAATGTGCTGCTCGTTCTGTTGTAGCATCAAAAAGAATTATAAACAGCCAAAAGGCAAACGTTGCAACACGTGACTAGTTCTTATTTAAATAATGTTACCAATTCTTCTTTAAGAAAATTTGTTTCCATCAATTTTCCCTTTAATATTATCTTGACACCTTATAACATATGAGGAAACATAAAAATAATTTTTTTAATTATGCTATTTTTATAATTTTATCTTAAAAAGTTGAAGTACAGTTGCACACTACATTCACTATATATGTAACAAATTCGAGTATAGATAATACATCGTGTGTTATATATTAGAAATAATTTATCAAAAAAAATATAATTTAACACCCATAAAATACGTAAGTACGCACAGTAAATGTTTTGAATTTTTTGTGATAAGAAAGTAAATATAAAGGCAGCATAAACATGACATTTCAATCAAGTGAGAATTTCAAATATTATCTAAAGAGTTTATTAAATTTTGCCTATTTAGTTTAAGGGTTTTTTAAGGGGTTATTAAATTCTTTTTTTTTTTTTTTGTCTCAACACAATTAGAATTATCTGCATCATTGCAGGCTATTTTAATTTCATTTTTTTTTCCAAAAAATCTTATTCTGTACTAAAGTTTGTTCATTTATTCTAAACTCAAAATTTTGAAAACTTAATAGTAGGTTATTTTAATGTAAGAATAATGCAATGAACCTGCACACAAAAAAAAAAAAAAAGAAAAGGAAAAGACGCACAAAGTGAGCAAAGAACTTCGTTTTTATGTAAAGAGAAAATCACTGAAACCACGAACACCTCGAGTGTGATAACAATGTTTCAAGTCAAATAGCAACAATATTTATGGATTGAGGACATATGAGAAAAAAAAGGATAAAAAAGGTTGAGGACTATTTAAACTTGATAACTTCAGGCACGGGCCGGCTGCATGTTTCGGCAAAGATACAAAGAACATAAAGCATGACCCTGATCATGGGTTGCAAATACATTAGTGCAACCATATAGAACTAGCTGGATCTGACACACTTCACGCATGCCCAATCTAAAGTATAAAAGAATTATTCCGTTTCTAATTGTCAATGGAATGAAAATTACATAAAACATGTAATAAACTCATTATTAAATAATTTAATAATCCTTATACATTTGAACAGTTGCATATGTATTATGTTGTTTTAAATCATGCTTTTGTTTCACAATTGGCAAATAAGCCGGTCAGTACGATCATATTAGGAGAAGCCTTGAGTTTTTGTTGAATACCATCATGCTTTCAGTGGTGGGTTGAAATATGCAATTATCGAATGTAGAAATCCGTCATGAATGCTGAAAATATTACCAAATTGATGCCCTTTTCAGTGATTATCTCATTTACACTTGGGACAACAATCAGATAGATTGATATTGAAACGAATCACAAGAATTAGACCGCAAACATATAAAAATGACAACGCAAGCCAAGTAAAATGGAATTGAAGTACTGTTTGCCAATTCTCCACCCATAACTAATCTTGCTAAATTCTCTAAAATGGATGAGATTTCTTCTGAGGTGTTAGATAATCGAATGAAATCACATGAAATTTGACTCGATCAATGATTTTATTAGGGGTTGAAACAAAATTATCAGAGAGACTCTTCTTTAACTTGATACATATTTCTTTACAATATGAAACAAAGTCGGGGTTCCTCAAACAAGTAAAAGTAGAACATGGAATTACCTCTTCGGAAGCCGATAGACATGATCCAATTGTAGGTATGCAAATTCCGATACAGTTTGGAGGCCAAAAGCTCTCTGCAAAAAAAAGGGGGCAAAACTAACAAAAATAGCAGAAATTATTATTTCCAGAGGAGAAAGGCAGAAACTTTAGTTCTTCCTTCCACCCAGACACCAACGCGCAACATTAAAAAGTAATTACTCCAGGCAAACAATATAACCATACACCAGAAACCTCCAAAACACATATATATCATGTTTTTTTGATAAATCAAAGAGACTTCGTAACCTCCAAACAAAATTATTGTTAAGTCAAACAAAAATCGAACAACAATAGGTAAAACAAAACTTTACATTATTCAATTTGGTTCCTTACTAATGTGCAATCCAAAAGCATTAATATTTTAATACTTATGATGTATTTTATTCTTACAATAATATCAAGAAGAGTAGTGAGTGAAAAAAGCTTCACCGCTAATAAAAAATGGGAAAAGAAAGAAACACAAGCATGAAGAACTGGCAGCATGTATATAATGCAAAACCAAGCACAAGACATAAAACAATGATATCAATCAAGAAGAGTAACATAGACACATTAACATTATGCCCTCGGTAATCTAGATCTAACGGCATTTTTTTATGTTCCTTGCAGAGTTGTCTATTTTTAACAATATCAAGAAGAGTAGCGGTTGCTGGAACTGGTAAAAGTAGAATTTGCAACGACGTTGTTCACAGTAGAGGCTTGAAAGCTAACAGATGGGACTACGAGCTTCAACTAAATCTAAATCTGAAGGCAATCTTCAAAAACCATTTCAATTATATGTCTCTACAAAATTGGCTCTTTGCTTTTAACACGATCTCTATTTTGTAAAACAAGCACATGTTTAAAATCACCAATCTTCAAAACCAGCCTAATTCAAAATAGTGGAAACATGTCTTATTCAAAACCAATACTTTTTTTTTTACAAAACTAAAAACTTCTATGCCCAAAAGAAAAAAAAAAAATAACACTAACTACACATGCGACACAAAAGAGTATTATATTTTAGATCAAGTATAAAAAAAGAATGTCCACAAAAACATGCTAAGAATAGTTAGCATGCTATGCCTCGGAATTCCTCCCATGATCATGTATCATAATTTAATCATAATATTATACCCATGAACATTAACTTTGTATTTGAATTATATCGGTGATTTGCCATTGCAGTGGAGAGCATCAATGAAACATTAAGATTTTTCAAAAATTTAAAGATTAATACCCAAACTTTTTTCACCACCCAAAATAGCCTCTACACCGATATATATATATATATATATATATATATATCAGATTTTTTAAAAAGAAAAAAAGGGAGATGGGTTGAAGAAAAAACAATCATACTTATCCACAATAATCGATTGGTTCCTTAGATTTTTCTTTTGATGGTAG